CTCACTCAAAATTTACTGAGCTTTTAAATGTACACTCGCTGGACATCCAGTAACCTAAAATGAATGGGGAAATTTTCGAATGTTTTTGCTTACTTCTTCATAAGGAGAAATTAAGCGGCCTCCACTAGATACTTACCAATAAACCTGTACCTTCTCGATCGAGTTTGGTTTATTGGGTCATAAGGAAGACCGTTTGACTTTTGATTTCAGTGATGAGAGTGGACTGATGTGTCACAAGTAAAAAAGAATAATAGGCGTGTTTAGACTTATGAGAAGACCACTAAGTGATGTAAATTTGACTTGGAATTAGTCCATTCAAAAGCTGTAAGTTTTTTCTTTACCATGTCGTCCGTGGTTGGATCTAGGGAGTATTGTCGCAGGAACATCACCAGATACTACACTTCGTTCTACACTGACCAAATTTCTGAAGGTGGCAATCATCTGTGTCACAGCTTAGAAAACAGTTTTCATCTACGTGTGAACAGAATGCAAAAGTCACTGCGTTTAGTCCTCTCGAATCTATTTGTAGGCATGTGAAAACACTCCGTAAGTGGGGCGTAAAAGTTAGTCTGAATTGAGACGTACGACTACACCTAAACCAAGCCGGGAAGCATTGACATACGTATGTTATCATCCTGTTAACTCTTGCAGCAACGGAAAAACTGGTTGACGGAATCATGAGTAGAACGTGAAAATGAATGTAGTAAACATTAACCAATCGGTTAGTGGGTAAATCATGTGGAAAAGAAAACTCTGTGTCCTCTAATGAAGATCACACGTCCATTTCTGCACCGTCGTTCTTGATCACATACCTCACCCATGTTCAGACAGTACGTATCCGCACTGTTTGGTTAACAACAACCAGGGTTCACACAGGAAAACTTCTCATATATGTTTAACTGGTTGTGAATTTAGATTGGTGACGATCCAAATATATTTGTAGAATTTGGACATGGATGAAAACCATCTTTCACGTTCTCGTGTTACGCACATTTCTGTCTCATGAGAGCATAACATAAGGCTATACCGCCATTTTATTTTTCCCACAGTAATCATGAAATATAAAATCAACAACTTAGGCAGTTGTTTACTGTTATTGCTTACTCATCGACTTTTCAACCAAACCCTTCGAAAGTCATTCGAGTTTGTGCTCATCGGTGGTGCACGTCCATGCCACAGTCGAGGGTTTAACCCCCGACAGGCTCTGATGAGGCAACTTGGTTGAAAACTATGGCATACATCTCATATAAGACATGACTGAATTATCACATGCAAACGCTTGGCCACGTTCCTATGTTGATAGTGCTCACATTATCCAATAAGCTCAGGAGGGGGTACTACGTTCTCTTCTGTTAATAGTGTTTGATGATTGAAGCAACAGAGTTTGGACAATGGCGTGGTGTTTAAGGTAGCAGACTCTCAAGTTAGACAATGAGAGTTCATTTTCTTGGTAGTGACAAATGCGTCCTCACTGGGGTGGTGTTTTCGATTATCACATGAACTTTGGTATATTCACGAACAAAAGAACATTCTTTCCAAGTTTCTGATCTTCCAACTTTATCAAGCTCATCAAATTAGAGCACGAAATCATATCAAGTTTCTACAATTATACGTTGCGTGCGTTGTTTTCTGTTAGATACAGTTGAAAAAACTATGTCGATTCCATGCGCTATTTTACTGCAGCTCCAACCTTTGCTCCTCTGACAGGTTTATCTGAAGGGACTTTTGACGCCGTGATAGTGAATGACGATTTGGACAGAACCGTTAACGAGATCATCAAAGTACTTACAGAGGTAAGTGAATTCATAATATTCCCTGGACCTTTTTAGTGAATGGAAATTATCTGCTGCCAACGTGCGATCTCTGATAAGAGTTATCATTCTGTGCTCTACAAACGATTGCACTTGAATTATCCACCGCCATACTGGTCTGGGCAAGCAATTGGTGTACTAATTGTCACTTGACTGTCATTAACTTCCGGGTGTACAGCCTTTAGTTTTTTTGAACTCCGCGGTAGTGCTAAATGTGACGAGTTGATTACCTCAAACAACAAGCAAATGACTGCGCACAAAATCGCTTATTCATTATTCAGATCAACTATTTAATGTTTAATTTGCTTCATTCACTCGTTCATTGGTGAAATAGAAACTATAGGCTAACCAGGTGTAATAGAATGGCACGGTTTTTTTTAACATTGTCAGTGAAATTCTGAGAAACAAGTTTTAGCTGGTTGTCTTATCGTAAATAATGTATCGTAGTCTATCGTAGTGTGTAGTGTATCGAAAACTGAACAAGTTCTACGAAGCGGCACAAATAAATCATAACCAGAGAAAATCCTGTAAATACTACTTACCTGCTTGAATATTTTCGTGAGCTACTTTTTCCAGTTTTCCCCTTCTTCTTGCTTACAGGTTGAAATCGATCAGCCATTTCTTGGTTCGTCTGCAAAAAAGCACATATCCACCATAAATGTAACACCACCCCTTTCTCAGTTTATCCTGACACCGTAGTAGTTGCTTGCTCGTTTGAAGACCAACCATAAAAATGCTGATCGATGCCGATCTATGCGTAAATAGAGGCGCATCAGACGAGAAATATAATTCACATACCTTTCTGCTACTCATGTGACCGGTACCCCGTGGTCTAATGATTAGGTCGCTGGGCTACAACCCGTCACTTGTTCATGGGTCGTGGGTTCGATCTCCTGGTGAGCTAGTTTGAGACGGCTGTCTAAAAATTTGCTGGTGGTCACTAAAATCAACTTTCTGCAATAAGCCCATGGTGATATACGTACAGTTTACAATTCCAATGGGCGTTTACAGCCAGGTGGTTAGGTTGCAATTGAAACTGTCTTTAAGCCTACATTAATGAATGCTTCAATGTCAGCTGTTGGCGGTCGCTGGTTCGAAACATTGAACATTATAAGTTCATAATACTCTTCTCAAAACCTTCCGTTAAAAGTAGCGTCATAGGGTGTGGAGTGAACTGGTATTGTTGCACAATATTTCATAAATAACACGTGCTTCAAAAGGCAACTGTTTACAGCTTTTGTTTATTCGAATGGAATATGCAGCTACACCAGACAATCGACCGTTTTTGACTGTACATCCACAAGGATAATGTGAGATTTAACGACTGCGAGGTTCAGATTAATTTATGTTAATCGATTCGCCGTTCACTTACCTTTTCATCAAAATCCAGTGATATTCAACGTTGGCAAAAGTATTGACAGTTGCACACTAAACCTGATTCATCTAGCAGACAACAGATCTGAGAAGAAAAACTTGCGAACCCTATGACGGTTGTCCCAACAGATCTGTCATAAATACTAGCCAGCCGGACGCACTGAGCAGTCTGAATTCACACAATAGCACTTAAGAACTTATCGTTTTGTAATATGTGCTTTCAATCTCTTTAGAACTAAACACGTTTAATCAGTTATGGAAGGTCGCTTACGACATGAGTGAAACGAAATAGTTCAAAGAGCTTTTCGCAGTCGATTACACGAACCGACGGAAGTTTTTATAAAGCTTTTTCTTATTAATTATTAAAAATGAATTGACAATGGTTATTGCTTTGACTGTAAATCATCCTTCATCGTAATACTGAATAGCACAGTTTGTTAACAGGTTATAACTATGTAAGATCAAGTCATTTATGATCAACGGATAGCGGAATTGTGGTACATGATAGTATTTCGCATTTTCCGATAGCAGACATTACTCAAAAATATAGTTATGACGTTAATAGTGATATAAACAAAACGGACAACTTATCAGGTTTACGGTAGTCAAACGTACACTCCCGGTTATATGTATATTGTGCTGGTTTCGTTAGGTTAATTTCAACAGTTACGACGAGGTACAGGATACGTAAAATAGTACCTCGTATTGGAATCCTGAATGCCGAGCTAATATTCATCTAGCCACTTGTAAGTAACATAAACCTGCTGATTTACGTAGTCGAATGCATCCGGGGTTATGAACTTAATTGTGTTGTCGACTGCTCGCATTGCCGTAAATGTTCCATATTAATAAATTTCAGGAGTCTACCACTTCTACCTCATTGACTTCCTCCTCACTAAAATAACTCGTCTGGCACAGTGATGTGTCTACACGCTAATAAAATAGGTCTTGAAAGTATCGTGGTTTAACTGATTCTGTAGGCGAAAGTGGTTTAGCGTTCACATATGACAAATCGATCATGCCTAACATGAGGTCGACACGGTGGTAAACACGGTTGTTCCATGAATAACCGTGACCGGAGTTCTAGTTCAGGCAGTGGCAAAAACTCGCACTAGTGGCGAACCCGAATGAGAGCGAAACGTGAGTCTAGTGCTTCTTTTCGAACGGGGCGGACTGGAAAGTCTGTGGGAATGTGTCAGCTTTGATCGATTGTGAGTGATGTTCAACTTGATACAAGTTGTGTTTTGTTTCGTATTTTTTACAAGTTGGCCGACTTTTTAACTGGTTCATTACACGTCGTGTTAGTAGTTATGGTATCACAGCCGAAGTTATCTCTTAAAATGGTCAGTTGTAATATGGTGCTCACATACACGATTATCATAAGATTCTAAAGTCAAGTATACAATTTTCTTGCGAATTCAACCGTAGGACACATGATTTAACAATTTTTACATATATTCATTAAACGGGGAATAGTATTTTATAATACCTTACCAACAGGATAATTTCTAGCCAGATATTAATTTTGGATGTCATCAAGAATTAGTCATTACACGACCATTTACCAAGCAGGTGATTCGGTTATGTTGTAAGTGATCATCTTATAAATTAATTGACAGGATGGTTGTTGCATCTGAACAGACAATTAGTGAAAAACTCGGTTGCGTTAGTTTTAAAATGAAGACAATTCTGTTTATATATAACGTGACACTGTCACCCGGAGAATGCCGACTAAACGTGTGGTTGCTCCAAACCGGCTTGCTTATGTCAGCTAATTATCCTACTTTTCAGATGGGGCCCAATTGTGGAAAGTCAGTGCTTCGGCTGGTTTCGAACCAGTGACAGAAACTTAATGCCTCCGCTCGGGAAGCGCTCTACCAGCTGAGCTACGAAGCGGCGCCAGGAGCTCAACAGTGGCGTTGATGGACTCCAGTACGAGCTGTTCGAGAAATTCAGCCGAGTCAGTTTATCCCGTGAATCATTTGGTGGGTTCAATGAAAGACGATGAGAAGAATGGGTAGCCAAGTCCAAATGTGAAACTTCCGAGGTCCTGCCGCAACGTCGTGGCTCGGTTGGTAGAACGATTGTTGCGTTGAGGTATGGTGTTTCTGTCGTTGGTACGAATCCGGCCGAAGTCCTGACTTTTCACAATTGGGTCCCATTTAAAATCACAAACCTGTCAGACTACTCATTGGGAAAACAATTATTGTTGACAAGCAGATCTGTTTGCCTACCACTTAACGCGCTTGCTCGCAGGAGGTAATCAGTGATCCTTGGCGACGTGGTCAGAAACTCGTATCTTGAATGTTACCATACTGTGTAGACAAGATTTGGTTTCAAGGTTATTTTGCTTCTTTTTCCCAGTTGCCTGTTTCTACACATGATTAATGTTTTCCCTCTCACTTGCGTAGATAACCCAGAAACAATTTGTGAACTGAGTAACCGAAGAACGCGTATCCAAATCCGCCGGTGAGTATCCTGGTCCAAAAAAACCTTGATGATCCACTGGAGAAGTAGATCAGAGAAATGTTCATTGCAATGAATCTTATCTTGATGAAATTACAGCATATTTTGGTGAATCTAATGGCACTCACAAACTGCAAAATATGAATACTCTCATCAGACCTCTATCATGATTGACATTACGCTCTCCTCATGCATTTGGAATTTCATGTCTTGGGAAGCAGTTGTTATTTAGACATCAATCAGTTGCAAAAAACTCAGGCTTCCGCTGGACTGGAAACAACTACGGTAACTGCAAACCTAAACACGGAGAGCGCTGTGCTAGTTGGGCTAGGAAACCATGTCGGGAGCTCAGATATCTTCACATTTGGACTCGGTGACCAGCCAAATCCAAATGTCATATGGAATCCACCGAATGATCCAGCGGACTGACTTCCCCATGCAGGTTTTCTCAACGGTTTAGGCTGGAATCCGTCAAAGTCAGTGTTGAGCACCGAACTGTTTTACTTATATCTGACGTGGCAGATTTTACAATTTAGAACCGAGTCCAAATGTGAAAATATCTGAGCTCCAGGCAGGGTTCTTAGCCCAGCTGGCAAGGTGTTCTCCGCTTTCCGGCATGTAGTTTCTGTCGTTGGTTCGAACCCAGCAGAAGCTCAAACTTTTCGCAATTGAGTCCCCACTAAGTTATCGGATCTGCTACACTATTAGTAAGTAATACAAAAGTTACCAGGTGGAAAATCGAAAATCTAATGGACAACTGACGCAATATGTGTACTTAAGAAGCTTCACCCCCAGAATCTAGTCTTCACACAGATACTGTGTAGCTGAATACAGCACTGTTTCACAGAAAAATTATATCAGAATGGAAAATCTTTCACTCAAGTAACATTGTACAAAAGTTTGTCAGACTGCTGTCTTTGTACGCCTATATGGATGTTTGAACGACCATGAAAATGACGGCTGCCGGTTGCAACTAACTTTTATGTTTGTCAGCGTTATGGTCAAAGTAATTTAAGTCAGTCAGCCTTAATTTCCTTTCGCGTTTAGACAGCACACTATTCAATATGTGAGACATCGCAGATGGAAAAAAATTTTTATTGTAAGAAACCTGAAACAATCTACTGTTTGTGTTTTGTGAAGTATTTTGCGAGGTAGAAAATTTTAATTTTCACCTGCACTGCCAGAATCGTCAGAAAACTTCCTAATTGCGGGTCATTTTAACATGAGGTGACCTCTAATCACCTTGGAAGGTTAGTAAAAGTTTAAGACGTCCAAGTAAGTACACAATGTCCAGAACGACCAATCTGCTCGAAAATAAATCAGTTACTTTGAAAACCTCAGACCAATTACAGAACAGACTGCACCTTCGTTTTCTCGAGGGATTATGAGCTATTGTTTTACAAAAGTGACACTGTACTCCTATTTAACATTTAATGGAACTTTTTTATACGATGTAACATTGCCATAACCAGAAGTTCAATTCCGAGAACGTTTTCAAGTTCTGTTCTCGTCGATCATTGTCATTAACTTCACAAAGTTCAAAGGTGAATTTTCACTTGCCTCAGTCACATTCGAGTGGACTACTCTAAAGCAACCTTTCAAATAGGCCCACACATTGTCACACACAGTTAACGCATGTGCTTTGAATCCATTCATTTGAAACTCATGAACTTATGAATGATGGGGCTGTACTAATGCCGTTAATACCTGTAGGAGTTAACATTGATATCATACTTGCACAGGATGTCATTGTGCTTGACATCTTACACACCTATTTTCTGTTACCCTTGAGAAAAATAAACACTTTTACGTTTGATACATACCATCTGCTAAAATTGTGCACTGGGTAACGAAACCTGAAGTGCGACAGTGAAAGCATGATGGGTGAGAAGCGAGAAAATTATGGAACACGTTCGGAGTGCTACAGACGAAGGATGCACTGTAGGTACGGAATTACAGAGTAGTACTTTAAGTAACAGTAGCAATAATGTTCAGCATCATCCAATAATTGACTACACCGTCTATAGCCTTAGCTTTTCAAAAAAAAATAAAACTCCAGCCTGCGGCTCTTTGCCTGCATGTACCACCAGACAGGAAAGATAAGCGAAGTACGTCCATTTAGAATGTAAGTGGAAATGTAAATCGAACGCTGATTTGTCGACGCACGCTAGTCTTCATCGATCTAGAGATGGTGCAAATAATGCGGTAGGTGTTCAGCCCACTCCACAAGTTTTCGAAAAAAAACCTTGATTTCAGACAACACAGAGCGCAAACATGCCACATCGTACGCAACCACGTGAAGCTCAGGTGCACGAAAATCCTTAAATCAAATCATTTTAAAAAAATCGCTTCACTTTCAGACCTGCTGATGATCTCGAGCCATCGTGCTCCACTCGACGTGAAATTCAGCCCCGGCTCCTGTCACATTTCATTGACCTTATTCTGTAGAGCATCAGGACGCTTCAGTATGCTGCAATTGGGTAGGAAAAGACTGCCTAACTGGACTTCACTGACGATGCCTCCGTACACAGCGATGGGTTACTTGCAACGGCCCGCGGTCTCCATACAAATATTCTCACAAGGGTGCAGGCAAAATCACTGCTAAACGTGCATACATCACAAGCCCTTCCGCACACATTGTGACTTGACACTCGAAGAAGTGCTTGTGTCGTTGCGGAAACTTGCACGACCATAAGGTAAATACAGTAAGCAACCACGCTCTGACCCAGCAGGTCCATCCGAGGTGACTGAAAAGTACTACAGCTTGCTCGTAACGTTGTATTTTGCTCAATCCATTTATCAATAACATGTTACTGGTGGACGCGTTCACTGGAGGGGACTTTTATCACCGTCTGAAGAGCGTGAGGAGTGCCATTCCAGATTTAAGCAAAATATTTCCCAAACGTTTGAGGTGTTTGAAAGCTGAGAATTTGGTCGGGTATTTCACCTCCTTCTTACTAGTCGGAGGTAGTCCAACCCCATCTGTTCGGCTCCCGCATCATACATGTTCCAAAAGGGAATAACCTCTCCTCTTCAGACATATCGCTGTAGTTCCAATGCGGGTAGGCTGTTTCCACAAAAAACTGGTAGATCGTTGGAATACGCGCTTGAAACGGGCCCCTCTTTCATTCGCATTTCAACACCTTGTTGGTTGCCTCAAGGCGACTTAGCTACCCAGTGCGCTGCTTTGGTGACCATGCGTTATCTCTTCCATTCCGTGTGCGATCATTACTTACGCGTCCACCGTGTTTGATTCTATCTCGCATAATTCGAGTTTCAGACCGACAGTATATCTCAGTGCTCCTCCAAATCCAACAAACTACATTGCTGATTTCTAACGAAAAGCTTTCGCCATGCTTGAAGGACCCGTTCTTTGGTTCCAGCGTGCTTCAAACTTGGATGACCCACTGTCGCCATTGCTATTCCTCGTGATAATGGACTCAGTTCTCGCTCCACGCTGACCACAGCTTGGCTATCAGTTCCACGATAAACCAGTCGTCGAGTCCGTCAATTTCGACGACCTCATTCTTTTAATGGAGAACTCACGCGTCTCGTCGGGGAACTTGCAGCCACCGCTTGTGACTCAGAGCTATGTAGACTGGAGATCAACACGCAAAAAACGAAACTGGTGGTCGCATGAGGCAATCATGAGCCCAACGTAACTGACATCGCTGTCGAGTCTATTGATTGTGACTCGGACATCGTTCACTGACTAAGCATCTCTGACACAGTAATTTATTTCGGTATCGCGTTCACTTGGAAGGCTGAATTCAACTCCGCGAAACGAAGGGTAAAACAATCAAAGTGCTTCCGTCATGTATTCTATTCGTGCAATTCGGTCACGACAGGGTCCTCTTGGGTCTAAGGTCCTGAAATCGCGAGGTGACAGAAGTGATCAGACAGCTCTCTGTCGCGACAAATATGGCCAGCCAGAAAGCCTAATTCATAATGTCCTATCGTGCAAGATCGTCCAGGATGTGCACTGCGTTTGGCACAACCTCCGGGCCAAGGACCTATCAGATAAACTACGCAATCGCTGCTACACATTTTTCGAGGACATGCGAGTACCGACTACGAACTCGTTCATCAAACCTTACGTTATGATGGTTCGTGACCACGGTGCTGTGGTACCGGTTGTCGGTATAATGGACGACTATCGAAGCCAATTTGCTCAGATGGACAAGGTTGTGAATCACGAGACCGGCAATAAATCGACCTTCCGTACTGTGAACTGTGGTGAAGACTCCAGTTTTCACTCACTAGTGATCGTTACTTTGCGCGGTATCATGTATCATCTTTCTCCAATGCTAATCATCAACTGGTGTTGCTCTCCTACACAATTACTGATTAATGCTTACTGACTGTTCTGGCTTTTCTGGAAATCTCTGACACACCTATGAGGGTAACCTGACGATGACTGTTGCTATCTC